TAGGGTATTAAAATTATTCTTCAATTCTGCCAATCCTAGGCAAAAAAGAAAAAGAAAGAAAAGAACGAAAAACTCTCTGAAAGATTATTTACTTTGCATGTTTAAATACTTTATTTACTATTGCAGGCCAGTCTCTTTCTCGGCCATTATAGCTTATCAAAAGCTTTTACCCATTTTGCTATTAAATTGCTTATTTAAGGGGCTAGGGCTGGGGCTCAGCGGTAGAGCACTTGCCTTGCACGTGTGAGGCCCTGGGTTTGATCCTCAGCACCACATAAAAATAAACAAACAAAATAAAGGTATTGTGTCCATCTACAACTAAAAAAAAAATGTTTAAATTGCTTATTTAGCAAAATTTTTTACTATTACAGTTCTTTGTAGGCTAAGAGAATCAGCTTACTGCCTGCTGTCTGGAAAAATAATTTGTCCTATATATTGCTTTTTCCCCCCAGGATCTGGGTATTGATGAGACCCGGGTCCTAGAACATGCCAGGCAGACACTCTATCACTGAGCTATGCCCCAGACTTTATATATTGCTTTTTGTTGTGGCACTTTTGCTACTCAGTAATATGGAATTAAATCATAATCAAATTAATTTTTTTTAAATTTCAGCTGCTGGGTTTATGATAGTCTCAGGAAGTTCCTTCCTATGCCAGGATCATAAAAATATTCATTTATCCTGGAGTTTCATACCCACATCTAAGTGTTGGGCCCACCAGAGGTGTGGCTGGCAGGAGGAAGAGAGGGCACAGTGGGGGAGCAGAGCTCCTAGATTTCCCCAACTCCTCAGTGGGGCCCAGGAGCCACCATCTCCCCTCAGAAGGTGATGCTCATGGCAGTTCGGGGCCCACTGCATCCTGCAGGCAGTTCCAGAAGGCAGAGAACCACTTCTCAGCGGCCATTCAGCACAACCCCTGTAAGGCCCAGTACTACATGTACAGGGCCAAGAGTCGACAGCTCCTGCAGGACATCTTTGGGGCCCGTCAGGATGTTGCCACTGCCCTGCTCCTGAATCCCAAGCAACCAAAGGTGGGCTCTTGTTGGGTGAGGAGGGTGGGTGGCTCCGGAGTCAGCACCCTGGTTGCCCTGAAGGTCCTCCTGTCCCTGAATGAAACCTGCACGGCTGGCCATGAGCAGGTAACGCTGGAGCACTCCTAAGAGTGGCTGTGTTCTGACCACTCCGACCCTGCCACTCCCTCCAGGCTCCTGCCTCCCTCCAAGCCAGAGAGTTACCGTCACCCCCATCTACAGATGCAGACCCCAAGGCTCAAAGAAGGCTCCCTTGCCCCAGTCCTGCAGCTCAGAGATCAGACCACCTCTGCTCTGTTTGGCTCCAGAAGCCCCAGCTGGCTCACCATCAGGGCTCCCTGTGGGGGTGGTCCCTTCCTCATGTCTCCTGTCCTTCTGAGTAAAAGGGTCCCGCCCTTTAGAAACAATTCGTGAAACCCCTCTTTAGCCCTGAGAAGTGCCAGGTAGGACTTTGCAAGGCAGGGCAGCATTGGCCTTCTGCCACCTGCCCTGGCCCACACTTGGCTCTGGTCACCCCTTTCCCGCAGCTTCTCCCACTGATTACCAGCCTCTTCCCGGGCATGTCAGTGGAGGAAGTGCTTCAAAGCCAGGTGGCCCAACTGGCCAGGCTGCAGCTGATGCAGATGGGGAAGAGTGGCCCTCAGGCCAGCAACCTGGAGGGTGTTGTGGGGTAAGCTTCCAGGGAAGGGGCCAGGAGCTGAGACTGGGGACTGACTGGGGCTCAGGTTCCTCTGCCCCGCCACCTCCTAGGGTCTCCACACTAGTCTTTGGGGATGGCAGGTGGAGTCTGAGAGGCTGACCCAGGACCCTGGGGCCATGGCTTGGCAGGATGCTGAGGGAGCGGGAACTGGAGCGCGAGAAGGCCAAGGCCCTGCTGCTCTCTTGGAAGTCCAACCAGCTGCTCTTGTCGGACCAGCCTTTGTTTGAGAGCTCCAAAGAGCCGGAGCCCACCCCCCAGGCACTGCAGGTAGAGCCAGCAGAGGCCCCATCTGCCAAGGAGGAGGAGGAAGCAAAGGAGAAGAAAGAGGTGAGCAGGCCCTTCACCAGGCCTGGGACCCTGGGGTCTGGGGCTGAGGCTGGCTTCTCTGAGATGGGATTGGCACCAGCAAGGACTGTCCCTGCAGGGAGGCTGGTAAAGAGGCCGGCCTCAGAGACAGGTCTCACACACCTGGCCTCACACCCCACAGGTCCTGGGGGTGCCCTGGCCACTTGTGCCAGACTTTTCCTATTTTTAAATTGTTTCTGAAAACATTTTGTTGAATGCAATATAAACAGAGAAGTGTGAAAATCATAGGTGAACAGTTGGATAAATTTTCAAAACTAAATACACCATGACACCATTTCCTAGCTCAACACAGAACACATTCCCCAGTGCCACTTTGTGCCATATCCTAAGCGCCCTTGCAACTCAGCACAACCCCCCAGGTTGCCTTGATTCTTAACACCATAGGGAGTCTCCCCTTTTCTTTGTGTAAGTGGACAAATAGCTGCCCTCCCTCTCCAGCTCCTTCCCCAGACGCTGGACAAGAGCCAGCCTGTGCCTGTGATCATCCCAAAACTTCTTCCTCTAGTCAACTGCCAACAGACATCAAGTTTATGTTCAAAGGCAACCTACCCCTGGCCCTGCTGGCACTCCCTTTTTCTAGTTTGCATTAGAACAAAGGCAGAATACAAAGCTCTTATCTGCAGAACCCCTGCCAGGTCACTGTGGGCTCCCTCCCGCAGGAAGAGGCTGAGCTGAATCTGGTAGAGCTCAGAGCCCAGGGCCTATGGGATGGACACCTGCTCCGCCGTCCTCACCACCTGCAGGTGTGACCTCAGGTAGAGGCGGCCAGCAGCCAAGGCTCTGAGGGAGGTGTCCAGCAGGACTGGAGTCCAACCCAGCTTCTCTCCTCCTCAGCTGAGTGGCTGGGCAGGTTACTTGGATGCTAGGAGCCTTGGTCTGTGAGATGGTCATAGCAGGGGACCTGTCCTCCCCTGGATGTGCCAGGTGGTCCAGACGTGCCTAGAGCATGAACAGCTCCTCGGCCGTCGCTGCTGCGCCCCAGCACACAGCACTTTACAGTTACAGAGGCCTGTCTCCCACTTGAACTAACGTGTTCGTCTTGCAGAGAAAATGGAGGCCAGCAGCCCCTCGCAGGCCTCCTTTCCTGGAGGGCCACTCCCCTTCCTGCAGTCTCAGCCTGTGTTCCCACCCTGCCCCACCCCGTGTCTGCGGTATCTGGGAGGAGCTCTAAGCTTGGGAGAACAATCCCCAGGGCCTGCTGGCCTTCCAGAGGGGTGGCCGCTGGCCCAAGGGCTTCCCAATCTGCAACTGCCCAGCCTGTTTTCTGCCATAGGACACCCAGGAGCTTGCCTCTCACAAGGTGACATCCCTGTCAGAAGGCTACCTCGACCAGACCTCCTCAGGTTCCATCTTCCGCTGTAAGTCCCTGGGCTCCTGCTAGGCCCAGGAGAGCAAAACAGCAGTGAGGTTAAAGGTCAGGGTGAGAAGGGATGTGAACCTGGGCCTGCTGTTGACCTTGGGCAGGGGACTCCACAGTGGGAGTAGAAGTCCCAACCTCATGGAGGGCGTGTGAGGACTCAGTGGGACAGTGTCCAGCACAGAGCAGGGACACTGGTCTCTCCATCAGGCTCTTTATGTTGCTGCTACTCCTGCCTCATCCCCTCTCAGGCCTGTCCTTTTCTCTTTCCCCCTCGGCCTGGGACTGAACCCTGTTCATGTCCAAGGGGCTTCAACCCGCAATTCTGCTGGGCACCAGCCTGGAAGGGACAAAAGGGAAAATCTCAGAAGGCTGCTCCAGAGCGCCTCGGCAGGAGAATGGCAGTGCTGTCTCCTTCCTGTCCCTCGGGGCAATCCCCAAACCTCACCGGGTGCCCTGGCCCTGGCCTATGCCTGGCAGCAATAACAGGGATGAAGGGCACAGTCCTTTCCCTGGGCAGTGAGCCCAAGTCAACAGGTGGACACAGCCAGAAGGGAGTCAAGCAGGCCTGAGCACAGGTGGCCCTTAGAGGCCAAGACCTCAAGCAGCTGAAGGGAGCACAGCATTGGGCGCTGGGAGGAGGGAGCAGGCGAGGGCCCTGCTGGAGCAGAGGGGTCCAGGGATGGGCAGGGGCTCAAGTGGCTCATGTCACAGCCTGGCCCGCCTCAGAGCTAGGGTTGTGAGGAGGCCAGGCTGGTATGAGTGGGCAAAACTGCGGCTTTGGATGTACAAAGCCACTGGGGATCTGGTAGGGGTCGCCTGGAAGCCCCTTTTTCCTCGAGCTGTCCAGGGAGGGTAAGGCAGGCCTGATGGATACTCTTGGCACTCCCTTCCCAGACAGGGTCAAGTCCACCTCAGACTCCACCATGTCCACCATCTGCCGGGGATACAGGAGCAGCCCCACCACCACCGCCACACCCTCTGTCTCCTCACCACAGAAGACCCCATCCTCAGACACTGAGGTCAACGAGGACCACCTGAGCCCTGACCACAGGAAGACCCAAGCTTCCCCAGAGAGAAGGCAGAGGCCCAGCAAGGCTGAGGCCACCCAGGACCAGATCCAGAGCTCCAGCAAGACTCCAGCTGCCCAGAGTCAAAGGTGCTTCTCCAGAAAGACAGCAGCTATCCCAGAACAGAGCCAGAAATCTGGCAGGACAGAGGCCAACCAGGGCCCAAAGCAGAGGCCCAAGACCAAGGGTACCCGGAGGCCAAGGCAGAGACTCAGAAGGACCAAGGCTGCCCGAGACCAGAGCTGGAGACCAGGCAGGGATGATGTCCCCCAGGACCAGAGCTGGGGACTGATCCGAAATTCCAGCAAGATCCAGGTTTCCCAGGATGTCAGCAAAACCATGGTCACCCAGGACCAGAGCGGGACACCTAGTAAGACAGAGGCTGCCCTGAGCGCAACTCAGAGCACGGGCTCCAGCTCCAGCAAGACTTACAGTACCATGGCATGGAGCACAAGGCCCAGCAAGGCCAGGTCTACCCCCAGCCCCAGCCAGGGCCCCAGCCAGGGCCCCAGTGAGACCGAAGCTGCTGAGGTCACGGTCATTGTGCTGCTCCCTGAGGAAGCTCAGTGAAACCCTTGCTTCTCGCTGGAGCAGGGACGATTCTGCCCCCACAGGCACCCGAGGCTGAGTCCTTCCAAAGCAAAAGGAACCTCGACCAGCGTTCCTCTAGTCCATGGCTACGTTTATTATGCTTGCTCTCTTCTTTTAAAAAATTAAAAACGTGTAAATCGAGGCCCAGGTGGCGTCTTGAGTCCCTCAACTCCTGAAAACTGTGAAGTCCCAGCCTGAGCTGTGATACTGGGGTCACAGACTGTAGAGTGAGGTGGGGTACAGTGCCAGGGCCAGGGGTGTGGGTGACAGCCATGAACCTTGATCCCTGAGTTACATTCACATTAAGAAGGCTCAGGCTGCAGGAGAAAGTCAGGGCTCAGTGAGGTTCCAGGGTGACCGTGAGCAGAGGCCAGGACGCCTCCAACCAGTTCTGAAGCCAGGCCTTTCCCGGCATCTGTCCTTGGCCTGGCCAATACCCCTCTTCATCTTGACTGCGTGCTCTGGGGCCCACTCTCCAGCAGTCTCTGGACAAGGGTCCCTCCAGCCTTTCCTGCATGGTTGGCCAGGCAAGGATGCCATTCTGGGGTCAGAGGAAGAAGGCGATTCGAGAGGCCACTGTTTTGCAGCCATTGGACGAGAAGAGCTGCTCGTCCTCGGGGAAGTAGGTCGTGCTGTCCAACACGGCCTGCACCACCTCGTCCCGGGGCTCCAGGCCCAGCTGGGCCAGCTCATTGAGCACACAGTGCCGCACGTGGTGCCGCTGAAGCGGGAGGAAGGGCACCATGGCGTCCAGCAGGCGCTCCTCCATGATGCCCGAGTGCCAGAAACCATCTGCAGGAAGGACACGTGCTACCTAAGAGGGAAGCCAGCCCCCGGGCAGAGGAGGGGTGTGCTGGGCCCTCTCCTTTTAGCCCCCTTCCAGACGCAGGCTCCGAGGGGTTGTGACCCATTCAGGTCGCAGACCTGGGAGTGCTGAAGCCTCTGCTGGGTCAGTGGCAGAACTTGAGACCCCAGGGAACCCGGCCCTCCCTGGCAGTCAGCCCACTGTGGCTGCGGGGGAAGCCACACGGGGCAGGGCCCGAGTAACTCACGGTGTGGGTTGTCCAGCACGGCTCGGGAGACGGCTGGCTCCAGCTCCTGCAGGCTGATCTCCTCTCGGTCCCTGCGGCTGCGCCATGCCTCCAAGGCCACCTGGTTGATCTGTTCACCACCAGTGTTGCTAAAATCATGGGGGACCCAGGCAGAGGCTCAGCCAGGGACCAGGGCCGGAGTGGGCCCTCACTTCCCTGGTGCCACCTAACAGGACCAGGGGTCAGCCGACGGAGACACTGCTCTCCCCAGCTCTCCTCTCCAGCGCGGCCATGCTGTACGCGCGCGTGTGTGCCATGCAACTTAGTTTACAGAACTCTGTGTCCTTAACTGACTCCCCTTCTGCAGCCTCCGGTAGGCCAAGGGGCCACCGACATGGGGACATGGGGACTGCTCAGAGAGGAGGTGGGGTCTCAGGGAAGTAACACAGTTTTGCCTGAGTTAATGGCCAGGACCTGAGCGAGAATTAGAGGATGAAAACTCCAGAACCTTTGTCCTCCTGTCCAAAAACGAGGAACAAGTGGACATAGCAGGGTCTCCTCAAAGAAGGGATGAGGATACAAAGACAGAACCTGGAATAGCTTTGGGAATGTCAAAGGGGTCGTCAGCCACCTTAGATGATGTGTCACCAGCAAGAGTGAGGGGCTTTGGGACAGCCTGACTGGACCCTGGAAACAGTGTCCCCCTGGGAGCACAGGCCAAGCGCAGACAGCTGGACATGGGACAAGTGTCCTCCTGCTGTGCCCATTACAAAACCAGCCCTACCTGATGAAGATGAAGATAGCTTTTCGATAGTTGGTTCCATATACAACCCAGGAGGGGCCCAGGAAAGGCCGCAGGACCTCCATCAGGCCTGGGGGCAGCTTGTCCATCTCATCGAAGAGGAAGAGGGAGCGGCCGCAGGCAGTCAAGTTCCCCTGGACCCAGTTCTTAAGATCCTTCTACAGGGAAAAGAGGAGTTCCAGAGAGCCAGAGAGCTTCAACCCCAAACTTCTTCCCAAACCAAGAACAAAACCCCTCCCCAGGAGATATGGTCTCCCAAAGAGCACAAAACCATTCTTAAGACTGATGGTAAAAAGAGAGCCCAGAGAGGGGCACAGACTTGCCTAAGGTCACACAGCATGTCAGTAGAACAGGGACTCAACCCAAGCCCCTGCCTCCCTGTTGAGGGCTCCTTCCATGACATCTACTCTTTTTTTAAAAAAATTACTTTGTAGTTATAAATRGACAGAGTGCCTTTATTTTGATAATTTTTATGTGGTGTGAGGATCGAACGAACCCAGTGCCTCACTCATGCTAGGCAACCACTCTGCCACTAAGCCCCAGCCCAGCCCACATCTACTCTTTTCTATACCAGGAGAAGCTGCTTCCCACTCCCTGAACCTGAATTTTGCTCCCAAAGTGTTGGCAGCTGAGAGAGATGGACTTGGAAGGTGCCTTGCAATCAACAACAGTGGTCAGAGCCAGTATTTACCTAGTGCTTCCTCTGAGCCACAAATTGGGGCTCAGTGATTTACAGGGAGACAATAATGCAGACTGTCTGGCAAACACAGGTGCTCAATAAGTGATACCTGCAATTGTATAATGCTGTCCCCTTCACAGCAACTGGCTGGTAGGTACCATTACTGTTTCCCAGCCAATAAAAGAACTCCCTGCCAGACAGAATGGCACAGTCTCACGCTCTGTTCAGGATGGGTTCTGAGGGCTGAAGATCCAGCTGGCTGTGTGACCTGGGACAAGTGACTCCACTTACTGGGCTAGGACTCACTCCTCAGGGTCTGTCACCCCATGTGCAGGCCAATGGTGGTCCAAGACACATTCAGCCTACCTTGTAGCGATCGATGTTGCTGGGGTGCGGGAAGTGGATGATGGGGGAAAAGTGGTGCACGTGCGGGCTGCGAAGGCCACCCTGGAAGAGGTAGTGAGCCAAGAGAGAGCTGACATAGGACTTGCCAGTGCCTGTCCAGCCATGCAGGGAGAGAACCAACGGTTTGGTGGGGCTGGGATCGTGCACAAAGGCCTTCAGGGACTTCACCACCAATGCCTTGGCCAGATGCTGCCCGGCCAAGTGCTGGGCCAGGTCACACTCCAGACCTAGGGTCACAGGACAGTGTCAGAACCAAGGTAGAATTTCAGGGTGGAAATCATGTCTGGGACTTGGTCTAGGGAACCCTGTGTTTGGCATGCTTGTCCCAAAGTGTGGACAGGGAATAGGGCCCTTGCGGCTGTCTGCACCGGCCACCTATCAGCCTGGCTTATCTCGGCAGCGCCCCCACCAGGCGGTTCTCCAGATTGCGCCAGCCCTAAATGAGCGGGAGCTGCCAACCCATTATGCCCAAGCCCCTGCCAATCTCCAATACAGGCTTCTCCCTGGACTGCAAGTCCACTCCATGCAGGCCTAATATGTCCCCGCAGGGGCCTTCCCGGCAACARGCTCGCTCTCTTCATCTCGCAAACCCTCTGGGACTCTAACGGGCACCAATAACCTACGCTTCAGGTCCGTGCCACAGGCGCTCAAGTCCCCTCGGAGCCGGCCCCACTTCGGCCCTGGCCGTCCGCAGGTCTGCGGGTTCCCGCCTCGGGTTCACGGATGCCCGGCCCTGAGGCAAGCTCCCTATCCACCCGCTCCTCGCTCCGGGCTCCCTGTCCCCTCACCGGGCAAGTCGGGCCGGAAGTCGCATTCGCAGAAGGAGCCTAGGTTGCAGCGCAGCGAAGCTAGGTCCCAGGAGGCAGTCGCGGCTGAGAGCAGCCCTAGCAGCCGGAGGAGCGAGCCCAAGGGCGGGCAGCCGCGCGTGGCGGCAGCCATCCGGGAGCGGCCCAAGCTCAGTCAGGGGCTGCCAACCACTCGACGTACGAACTACAGCTCCCGGCGTGCACTGCTCCGCCGCAGCCACGCCCATGGCCTACAACTCCCAGCTCCCCTCCCGCGCGTCTCAAAGGCCCGCCCCGTCGTCGCGCAGCAGGACTCCAGGGTGCCTCCAGGGGGAGCCCGCGAACCGTCCAGTCCGGGTCAGCGGGCCGCGTTTCCATGGCCACGGTAACTAGGGGACCATCACGGTAGCTCAGAAAGGGATAAATAAAGGATTATGACCACAAAAGGTAACGTAACAACTATAACAAAAACTTGTGCGGAACCTTACAGCTTGCAAAGCGCCTCTTCCAACCTCTTCTTTTATATGACAAAAGAGGGTTCACTAATAATAGCTTTTGGTGAGCAACACTATGTGCCATTAGCTTCAGGTGCCATACACATGCTATAATATAATAGTATCTGCTACACATGGAAATGGTGATGTTTCTCTTTTAATTTTTTTTAGTTGTTGATGGACCTTTATTATTTATTTATTTATTTGTATCCAATGCTGAGAATCCAACCCAGTGCCAATGCCTCACATGTAGTAGGCAAGCACTCTACCACCTAGCCACAACCTCAACATGGAAATGGTGATATTTCAATGAGGTGCAGGCAAATAGTGTTTTGACTCAGAAAGTAATTGATAAATGACCACTGACAATCCATTATGTATGAAACATAACTGTCCCTTACCTAGCTTCCACTACATACCAAATGCTTATTACCATCAATCCTAGCAGATGGGTTCTGTGATTGTCCTTGTTTTATTTTGAGGAGGAATTTGGGACCCAAGAGGTTAAACTTCTTATCCAAGTTGCCCCTGCTAATGAACAACAGAACTCAACCACCTCCAGCTTCAGCCAAAGATGCTTTGTACCATTGTACCATGTCATGTGGTACCAGGTCCGATGGGTCAAATAATTCAGAGGCGAAGGAACCCAGACATCTCAAATTCGGTGAACATGCTCCTGGGGACCCCAGGTTGGCTTGGGATCCTGTTGATCTACATTGCTTACCTTTACCTCTCCCACCTACTGGAGTGAAAGAATTGAGAGCTGTCTTTGTGGTCTAGCTTGAAGGTCCCTGCCCTACCCAGCTTAACACACACAACCCCCCCCCCACACACACACACACACACGACTTCAGGGCCACATCTCAAACCTGAAATTATTACTTCCCTCTATTGAGAAAGAACCCTGGGTCAGGGGAGCCAGTTTGTAGCCTTCCTTGTTCTGTTGCTGGGACCCAGGGAAAGTCCTTTCTGTCTCCATATGTTTCACAGAAGGGAGTTGAAGTCCTAGATTTCTGAAAACCCTTCTACTCCAAACATCTTGGGTCCTTGTGTTTGTGATAATCGTTGCTGTGGCTTCCTGAGGCAGGCCATGGGACAGAAGGAAGTTATACCTGTATGTCTCCCACTAGGTTGGAATTATCACCCCCACTGTCATCAGCTCCTGGAGGGCAGGGTTTGAATTTAGTATTTGCTTGTATTCTGGCTCTTGGAACAAACTGGAATGTTCCAAGTGCTAAATAAGTTTTTGGTTTTTTTTTTTTTTTCAACCCAGGGGTGCTCTACTACTGAGGCTCCAGCCCTTTTAATTTTTATTTGGAAATAGGTCTTGCTGAGTTGCTGAAGCTGGCCTCAAACTCATGATCCTCCTGCCTCAGCCTCCTGAGTGGCCGGGATTATAAGACGTGTGTCATCATGCCCAGCAAGCAATTGTTAAATGAAGTTCTCTACCTTTCACCTGAGAAAAAGTGCTTCTTTCCACCCCCAGCCCCTTCTGAGAGACAGAAGAAAGAGTCATAAAAGTTTATTATATGAAAGAAAGAACATGGTTTCTGTACATCTATTTACAGAACAGACAGACTTATTTACAGCAAGATGGAGGCCTTGGTGCCAGTGGAGGCAGATACCCAGGGGAGAGGGAGGAGGCATGAGGGGCCTCCCATGGCTCAAAAACAGGGAACCTGGGCAAGAAGGGGGACAGCAGAAGCTGGTAGGAGGAGCAAGGTCCCTGTCCTTCCTGAAGGGAGACTGGTAAGTACKTGACTGGAAGGTGGAATCCAGAGTCCAGGCAGGACCCTGGAGTTGCAATGGAGATCCTGGAGTTGAACCCAGAACATTTTGGGTTGATCACAGTGTCCCTGGGGTGCTCTGGGGAAAGGTCTCTGCCCCCTTTGCTGCCCACAGCTGCAGAGGGGAAAGTTCCTGCGGGGGTCACAGCTCACTGGAGCGGACAGCAGGCTCCAGCTTGTGTGACAGGGCAGTGAGAACCTTGTCGAATTTCTCATAGCGCCGGGCTTGGCTGCTGCTGGCCCCTTGGCTGCCCCAGAGGAGGCGCATCTGGAACTCAGTGCTGAACACCTCCAGGAGCTCTGGCCGGGCCTGGAATCCTGCAGGGCAGGGGCACAGGGTCAGGGACCACCATCTGGTTGGAAGGAGGCTGGGGCTCCCATTCAGAGTCCCCACATTCTTCAGGGTCCCATTTGAGGCAACCTCTCCACAGCCCACCAGGGAGCCAACAAAGTCTGTTAATGAACATAACCATGCATGGCAGTGTCTCGTCTTTTTCCTACTATTTTCTAGACAAGCAATATTTTTTTTTTCATTACCAGGGATCAAGCCCAAGGCTTCGTACATGCTAGGCAAATACTCTATCACTGAGCTGAATCCCCAGTCCTTAGAAGACAAAATATTAATGTTTAATTCTCTGGAAGTTTTTTGAGATCTTRCATGATCGTTTTCTCTTTCTTTCCTTTTTTTTTCCCATAAATTCCATTTTTTTTAAGAAACATATATACGTTTTACAAGTAAATATAAAATACATATCTTTTTATTCCTTCTTGGGGAAAAAAAAAGGCAAGAAAGTCAGAAAAACCTATCAGAATATTCACAGCGTTTACCCTGGGTAATTGTGGGTAAGTTTTTTGTTGAGAGCCACAGTTTAGTTGGAATGACGCCTGGCATTTTGCTAGAGGGAATGGTTGAAAGGTGACCCTGCTCTGGAATTAGGGCGGCTCCGGGATTAGGGCGGATCCTGCTGGGATTAGGGCGGATCCTGCTGCCTAGGGTGCCTCCTACTTTGGAGTTCCCATTGAGTTCTCCCGGGGTTCCAGGAGAATTGGCACGCAGAGTGGAGCCCGGTGGAGGGAGTGTGTTCCCAGAAAATGTGTGTAGAGTGCCGGTGAGAGTTCAGGAATAAAGAGTTGCTGTTTGAACCTACAAGGCTTTTTGGCGGCTCTGTTATTTGTGCCCAGCCAGACTGCGGCAGTTTTTAAATCTTATTTTTGCTCAGCTGTAATTTCTAATTTATCTCCAGTGAATTTCTGCAACTTAATACCAAAGGCAGTAACAGACACTGCCCCTTTCATGTGAGGGTGTTACAAACTGAGCTCCCTGAAGTGTGGTGGCTGTCTTCACCCCAGGTACCAAGCTGGGCACCTCTTTCTTTCACATTTCACTGAGGCTCAGCCAAGCTAAGGACCACAGCCAAGGTGCACCCAGTGATTGAAGAAGGTGATAAGATGAGGAGCCGGGGAGCTGGGGCAGAACAGAGGGAGAGCACCGAGTGGATGCTGGGAGGAGGGGAGCCCGGGCATCGACYACACTCACCCTGCAGCTTGACCTCGGCATTGGTGTGGTAGAGCCCTCCGTGGTGTGCCACCGTGCGGGCGGCCTCCAGGTGGGCCAACACCACCTCCACGCCATGCTCCGTGCTGCCCCAGGGCTCAGGACCCTCAGCAGGGGCCGAATCACACTCCAGCAGAGTGATGAGTGGCAGCACATGGGGAAACGTGGTGTTGCTCAGCGGAGGGCCTTCTGCAGGGGACAGAGAGAGCAGGCACTCAGGGACCCTGGAGGTCCGACATCCACTGATTCCCCAGAGCTGAGGGGCGAGAGGAGAGGGGCCTGCCTAAGGTCCCAGGGAGTTCCCGGGGATCCAGACTCCTGGGACAAACCCTTCCTTTTAGATTCCCCTGGGTACACCCACAGCAGCGATGACGCAGTCCCAAGTGCTGAGCCTAGACCTGGACGTGGCTAATGAGGTTGCCAGGTGCAAAAAGTAAGCTCACCAAGCTCTCCTTATCATCCACAATGGGAGAGTCTATGGCAGCCCAGAGAGGACCGGAACCTGTCCAAGGTCACACAGCAAGGCAGGGAGGTACCTTTGCCCTCATTGAGGCTCTTGAGAAAAGGCTTGAGTTTCTTCTCATACAGGATGGCACCCTCTGTGTGTCGTTGCCGCAGGGTTACCCATGTCTGTTCCAGCCGGGAAATCTGGGGAGATCAGACTGTGAGATGTTGCCCAAGGAAGTGGCCTGCAGTGGATGCTGGCCACAGGCCACCCTGCTGAGTGGACACACAGATGTGGGATAACAAGAGCCATTCTGGCCACCATTGGTGGGCCAAGGACAGTGTAGGCTGCCTTTCGTGTCATGATGCTGCCAACACAACCCATTTTACAGCTGAAGGAACTAAATCTCAGGTGGGAATGACTTGCCCAAGATTATTCTGAAAATAAGTGGCGGAGCTGAGACGTGAACCTGAGACTCTGCCCCCGAGCCCCTGTTGTTCCTATTTATTAGGCACAGGAGAGGCAGTGTTGCATAATGGTTGCACTGGAAATCAGTTCAAATCCTAAACTTTTGGACCTGTGTGACCACAGGCAAGTACTGCTCTCAGTTGCTCCTTCTGTAACAAGAGGAGACAACAGAGGCATCCACCTCATGAGAGTCTTTTCAGGAATCSATGCTGGTAAACAGTGTAGCACCAGCCCAGGGCACAGGTGAGTGTCTGTTCAATGATACTATGTCATGTTTCTCTCTCTGGCAATACTGGGGGTTGACCTCCGAGTGCTCCACCTCTCGGCTTCACTCTCAGCCTTTTCCAAATTTCATTTCATCTGGAGACAGGGTCTCAGTAAGTTGCTGAGGCTGGCTTTGAACTTGCAATCCTCCTGCCTCAGCCTCCCCGTTGGCTGGGATTACAGGTCTGTGCCACCTCACTGGCCTTTGTGTTTTCTTTAA